CACCCTCCTCTTTCTCTCTAATTTCAGTTATATCCACCATTCTCTATAAAAAGGACCCCAGGGGCCCCGGAGAATGGGTTGGTCAATTCACCTAGGTAAGAAGGAATGCTGATTTTGAGAAGTTCAAGGGTAGAGGAAGAGAAGGACGCCCAGGCAAGAGGAGGGGTTCCTACTTGCAGTTCGCCAACACCACTACTGCCACCTCTGGAATCGAATCCCAACCAGTCTCTTTAGTTTTAGTTTTAATTTATGTTCTTGCATTTCCAGCTCCATTTCTTTCTTTTTGCAATTTATTTTTATTCCATTTGATCTTCGTTTTATTTTTTGTAGATCTGCAATTCGGCCAGGTAAGATGGAATGCCTAGCTCGAGAAGTTCGAAGGTCAAAGGAGAGATCCGGAGGCTGCTACCTCTAATTGGATTACAGATTTTTATTTCATTTCTTTTGTTAATTTATTTATGTTTCTACACTTTTAGCTTTCAATATTGTTCAAATTCTATATTTTCTCAGTTTAATTAATTATTTTTTTTATTTTTGCAACTCCCACTTGTGTTTTCTTCTCCCGAATTTAAGTACATAAGTATTTTTCCCTTGCTTCCTTGTGAATATGACCCATTCTCATCACTTTACTGCATTAGTAGTTGTTTGAGAATCGAAATAATATTATAAATGTTTAAACTAGTGTTCCAAAGTGTTTAATGACACACTTCCAGACATACACCAAACAGTGGTTTGTAGTATAAAGTTATAGGAGAGAAATACATGAACTCAGATTTGAGTTCATGTCTCAGATCTGAGTTCGTGTCTCAGATCTGAGGAAGAAGAAGAAGAGAGAAGAAGAAGAAGATGATGATGATCTGAGAACTCAGATATGTGTTTGTTGCCACCACCTCGCCATCGCCATCGCCATTATCGTCACCGGTCAGTGTCGAACCACCCTCCTCTTCCTTCCCTTTTCTCTTTTCTCTTTTCTTTTTTCCTTTTTCCTTTCTTTCTTTCTTTTCTTCTTTCTTTATTTTTTTTTCTTTCTCAACCGACAACATCTCTTCTCTCCTTTCTCAAATCTCATAACTCATATAAAATATTTGCCTTAATATGCAAACCGTCCAAACTGTTCAACTTGGACAATTGAACCAYTGACCCGGAAATCGGTAGTTAGAACGGTTCCGTTTTGGGGTTGGTTTTTAAAACCTTGATTGCAACTATATAACTATTGGTGAGAGAGCTCAGTGACTTTCTCTAATAACTCGATTACTTTTCTTCATGGATTCCTAGATAAATGGTGGAAAAAAAGGGATTGGATCTAGTAAGCACGTTAAATGAGCACTTGATAAATATTTTGACAACTATTAAAAGTGGGTATTAACCCTTTTCAAGGGTAGGCTGGGGGTATTTTAAGGGACAGGTGTCAAAAAAATTTCTAAGTGCTCATTTAACGTGCTTACAACATTGTGCCTACCTGATCCGAATTGGGAAAATAAGCACATCTTTCAATGAAAACCAATTCTACGTTTGCTCTCATTTTCCTAAGTCTTTAGTCCCCTATATCAACTTCACATTCTCTTCAGCCCATTCCTCTCCGTTGAAACCACAACCTTCCCTTCTTCAACTTTCTATGATCGTGTCAACCTTGCCAAGATCACATAGTTCATATCTTACTATGTCTTCCCAACTTCTTTTATACTTAGATAAAGAGGGAGAGAGGTGAAGGTCTTAGTAAAATGAGTATTTGATGTTCAACAGTATCTCTTCAAACAAGTTTTAGAAGAAATTGGAAACATTTTTCCATAAAATTTTTGAAAAATTTATCAGTCTTTCTTACTAGTTTTCATAGAAGTTTAATCATAAACAACTTTTATATTGGACAACTTGGATGGAGGGGTGCTTAACACCTTCCCTCTCCCAATCAATTCGAATTCAAGATCTTTTGGTTGAATGTCCTTCTCATAGAGAAATGGAATCACTATCTTGAAAATAAAATCAATTTGTTGAAGTCGAATGCAGGCCCATTCCTCTAAAAAATGTGTGGCAACTTCTTTTTCTTGAGCTGGTCATGAGCTTCCCTAAGCTCACACTAGTGGAATGGTACTCCCCTATTTGAGGGCATTGCAATTCCCTCGCCCTCCCTTTGGAATGAAACCCCCACTTTAGCTGATTCCATTTTTTTATTTTGATTCCCATATGAACCAAACAGGATACAAGAATAGACAATTCAAATTCCGGTTTCGAGGGGTTGTGATAGATTCTGAACTATAAATATTTACATTATATAAGTTTTTTTTTTTTGCTCCATGGGGCTACAAAAACCGGGGTAGTCCACCCCCAAACCTTAACCCCCACAACCTAGGTGTAGGTGGGAATTGATCCCAAGTTTCTACTATAACCAGCCACCTTACCAACTAGCCAATTGGCACATTGCAAATATTTACATTATTTAATTATTAATAGTAAATTAATAACCAATTATTAAATATCCCAAGTAAATTTACAAAAAATTAGTAACCATTATTTTTATGTTAATAATAAAGATTTACAATAAAATTATATTTAATTTCAACAAGTTACCAATTAACCAATATTTAATTTTATAAAGCTAATTAAAAATTAATTTTATAAAAATTATTAGTTTACATCAAAGTTTCGTAAAAGCAAATTTCCAATGTTTAGAAAACCAAATCAGATCGGCTAGTTGGACCAGTCGAACCATAACTCAAGCCCTTGGTCGGTTTGGTTATACCCCTAAAAGTGCATTGGACAAAAAGTTGGCCAAAATCGACGACTGGTTAGACCATTCCATCTAAAAAACCGGTGACCCAGTCCCGATTTTAGAAAATCGATTGATTTTTGACATTTTTATACATAAATGAAATTTTCTAAAGGCCATAACTTTGTGCTTGGATATCTGATTGGGGTGATATTTTTTTATTTTTTATTTTGGGTAACTTTTCAAGATCTATGTATTCCCAAGCCTTACCCCACTATTTTTTCTAAAAACACTTTTTTTTTTTTGCTTTAAATATTAATTTTTAATATACAAGTTGAAACTAAAATAAAAAGTTATATATATAGTTCAACACCAGTTGAACCTCTCCCTTTTTTGGGTCAACACCAGTAGAACATTGGCAATTTTGGTTACTTTTGGTAAACTAATAATGTAATGTTTTTCATTCTTTTAGTCCCTCATATTTTCATACCGRTAGGGATGGGATGCAAACAGATTGGATTCAAGTCAAGGTATATTTGAATCCGAYCTAATACTATTCATGGCGGATCCGATCGGATCTGATAGGTCTCGATCTGAATTTGAATCCTATTAGTAAGTTGGATCTTCGAATTTGATCCGATTCAACTTATTTTCTTTAAAAATTAATAAATTATTTAAAGAAAATAAAATATACCAATTTAATTAAAGAAAAAATAAAAAATACAAGTATTTTTTAATTATTTTCGTCATATATATGCATGCTTTTTATAAAAAGTAAATAATATAACAAATTTATAAAAATACAACATAAATAATATATTTATAAATAAATAATACATATATATATGTGTATTATATATTTATATAAATAAATATAACATATAACAGATCGGATAAGGGGGTTGATCCGAATCTGATATGATTTTTTATTGGATCCTATTATTCGATCCAAAGATCCGAACAAAAGTCATCCAAATTCGACCAAGGATCGGATCTGAGATCAGATGATCCTATSCATTTTACCTTACATACTGGATAAGTGGATATCAGGTTTTCCGTGCGAGAAAGCTACTTTTATGTTTTGTAGTTTTGAATTTTATTATTTTATTTATGACATCATGATTCGTCTGATTTACCTTTCGGTCGGACTATTTGACCCGTGACCCGAAAGGGTTTCCGGTTTGTATCCGGTCCGAGTCTTACAACATTGTTTTCAGCTTTTCCCTCTTCTTCTTTCCCGGTTTCCCCTTCGTTCGAGACAGCAAACCTCCGAGGCTCCGACTTCTGAACCAAAAACCCTAGCATCGTGGTGTCGTGGAGAGCGGAGACAGTCTCCTTCTTAAGGTTTTGCCGTCCTTGTCACAGCTCGTCGCGTAGTACGCCACTGCCCGCTGCAACTCCCCTCCCTAATCTTTTCTCGTCACTATTCTTTAACTGGCGGTGGGTAGGTAAAAGTCACCTACTAAGTCTCGTCTGGGCATGGAGCAAAGTGAGCGAGCGGCGGAGAAGCCTCTATTCAATCTTCCCCAAATATAAATAAAAGGCTACGTAGAGAGTATGTTACCCAACTCAAAGTAGTCGTGAGCTGCGAGTAAGATGAGCTTGTTATGAACAAACTGAAGCAAGTTCACGCCCACGCCCTCAGGAATGGTATAGACAACACCAAATTCCTCATTGTTAAACTTCTCGAAATCCCCAATATCTCCTATGCTCAGGCCCTGTTCGACCTTATTCCCCATCCAACCGCGTTTCTCTTCAACAAGCTCATTCAAGCCTACTCCTCTCATGGCCCTCACCATCGGTGCCTCTCCCTCTACTCTCAAATGCGCCTCCAACGCTGCCCACTGAACCAATACTCCTTCACGTTCCTGTTTGCCGCATGTGCTGCCATCCCCAGCCTCCAGCATGGGCGAAAGCTCCATACCCAGTTCCTCAAGTTTGGTTTGGATTTTGACCCATTTGCCTTGACGGCTTTACTGGATATGTATGCGAAGTCAGGCTTGCTGGCCTCTGCGCGCCAAGTGTTTGATGGGATGATTGAGAGAGACATACCCTCATGGAACTCGATGATAGCGGGTTAYGCTAGGTGCGGGAAGTTTGCAGAAGCAAGAGAGTTGTTTGAATTAATGCCTTTAAGGAATGTAGCTACTTGGACGGCTTTGATTTCTGGGTATTCCCAGAATGAACGGTACGAAGAGGCTCTTGAGGTGTTCATGGAGATGAAGAATATGGAGGAGGCGAAGCCAAATGTGCAGACCTTAGCTAGTGTCCTCCCAGCATGTGCAAATCTCGGGGCGTTGGAGATGGGTAAGAAGATCGAAGCATATGCTAGAGAGAACGGGTTCTTGAGAAATGTGTTTGTCAGCAATGCTTTGTTGGAGATGTACGCAAAGTGTGGGAAGATTGATACAGCAAGAAGGGTGTTTGATGAAATTGGTAGTGAGAGGAATTTGTGTTCATGGAATTCGATGGTCAAAGGATTGGCTGTCCATGGCAGGTGGAAAGAGGGATTAGCACTTTTCCATGAAATGCTGGTAAATATTTTCTTCTCTAGGTGATTTTGTCCACTTACCGTGTTTTCTATCCGATTCTATGCATAGCTTGTCTTAACGTTACTCTCTTATATTCTTTCATCTTAACACGCATGTCTRTGATTGTTAAACTAGACAGGAGGGGTTGTACCAGATGACATCACATTCGTAGGTGTTCTTCAGGCATGCAGTCACGGTGGCCTGGTTTCTGAAGGCTGGCGACTCTTTGAATTGATGCAGAAAGACTTCTCCATCGCTCCAAAACTAGAACATTATGGATGTATGATTGATCTCCTGAGCCGAGCCGGAGAGCTGAGTGAAGCCTATTCTCTCATAAAGAGCATGCCCATGAAGCCTGACTCGGTGGCATGGGGAGCTCTTTTAGGGGCTTGCAGTTTCTACGGTGATGTAGAACTGGCTGAGAAAGCAGCCAACTCCCTCTTTGAGCTCGAGCCGTGGAATCCCGGGAACTACGTGATTCTCTCCAACGTATATGCATTAGCAGGCCAATGGGACGGTGTTGCAAAGGTGCGGAAGCTTATGAAAAGCAATCAAGTTACAAAGTTGGCAGGATATAGCCTCATTGAGGCAGGGGGCCACATGCACAAGTTTATTGTGGAGGATAGATCTCACCCAAGATCTACTGAGATCTATGTGCTTTTGGATGAAATTTCGTCAAAGATGAGGCTGCATGGAAGTGTTGCCGAATTGGATGCTGAGATCGAGAATCATGTTTGATTGATGGGTTGGTCCAGCGAGAACGATGACAGATAAATAGGGGGGAATTATGTTTGAGTAACCCTGATTTATAACAAAGCCAAATCAGGATTCACCTTATAAGTTATAACTTGACGATGCATTAGATGGACTCACATTTTTTTGAGAGAAAGCAAAGTATAATATCATTAGAATAATAAAAAAGCATGTACAACCAGCTGCTGTACACAGGGATTTTACAAACACTGCCATGCTGTCCAATTCTACCKAGTGACCCCCACCCTGAATCTATTGATTCTTATTTATTTTTATTTTTTATTTTTTATATGTAAAAATGAGGATGCAACAAATAGAATGGTGGAAGACCCTGATTTCTTTGTCCAATATAACCCCTGCCAAATAGTTTCTTTTTTTATTGGGTGAGTACTTTTTGTGTAAAAACCGTAGAAAAAGCAAATAGCAGAAGATTGTTTCAACATCAACATTTTCCATAGATGGAACTCTTGAATGTTTTGTTTCTTAAATGTCAATGACAATCAGAGTTTTTGTGGTAATGAATATTGAACTGGAATGCATGCCGGAATCCTTCTCAGCAATGTTGTGTTTTTCCCTATCCGAGAGGTTGTTTCTAGTCTCTGATAAYTGATTAGTTTTTAACTAGCAGTTCCATAGGTTTTAACTACATTATTTGTTTTTTTTTTTAATTTTTCTTATTATTTTCTATTAATTTTAATTAGGGTTTTGATTTAACAAAATTTTTAATGAAAATATGAAATCAGGTTTGGATTTATAGGTTTTGTAAGCAGATTTTGTGTTCTGTGTTTTCTCTTGTTACTTTTTTTGTGATTTAATTAATTTTTATCAATTAGTGTTTTGGTTTAACAACAATGTATTTTTATTGAATCAGTTACAGGTTTTTTAGTTCATTACCAGTGAAGCATATTCAAAGAGGTTTAGAATAACTATCAGCTCCAGTGGCTCAGCTGATAGTGGTTTTTCAGCATTTTGAGTTTTTTAGTGTAGACATGCCAACAGTTTAGTTCATTCTAGCATACTACATTGTAAAGGATATGTAAGCATTGTATTTGTTTTATTACGAATCTGAAAAATGGACCTTTAGATGCATATACCTCTCTCAGGGATTTATGTTTTCTAATATTGTGTTGTTTAACAAGTTATTTCCCACCTTTAGTTTTGTTCTTGTTACTGGTTCTGATGGTTGTGACTTTTGCCTTTACTTCTGTAGAGATTAGAGAGAAGCAGTGGACGCACTTATTCAGGAGTTTCTCAAGTTTAGACCAAATGCTGTTCCAATTACATGTAGTGAATGTCCCATCTTCCTTGAAGAGTTCCATGTTGGAAATGAGATAAATAATTCCGTTTCCACTGTTTTTTATCAAAATGACCAAACATCTATGCCAGGAAGATTTGATTATCTTGTTTCTTTTTTATTTGAGAATGCCATACTGCCATAACCATTCAAACAAATCCATTTCATTTTTATGTTGCTCCTTTGCTGTGAGCTTTGCCCATGGTACACCTTTTCTCTTTCTTTCTTTCTTTTCTTTTTGTTTTTTCTACCTGGCCCATGTAATAGATGTCATTTTTTGTAAATTGCAGAAGCAATAAAAATCATGGCATGAAGAGTTTTCTAGCCAAGTTTTCTATGTACTTGACTATTTCCCATAATCTAATTCATATGGAAAGCCAACATATTTTGTGCTTTCTACCTTAAGGATGTTTTTCCTTTTGGGTTTTGTCCAAGAGGAACTGTGGTGGTCCAAAACCCAAGTCCTGATAAATTATGAAAATGTGTCATTTGTATGGTTGAAAGGGACATTTTTGATACTATAACACTTGATTTTTATTAGATTCTGCCCTTTCTATTTTAGGATATGTTAAGATTGTTAAGTTGCAAATGCTCATTAGAAGTTTTTCAGGTTCATGGATTCCCTTGTGCTTGCAATTTTCATGTAGAGTGCATTGATGACTGGATTCTGCTAAATGCGAAGTACCTACATTGTTGCTCAACTTAATTTTAATTCTAATTTTATTTTTTCTATGAAAATAAAGGATGTTCCAGAACACATGAGCATTAAGGCCATTAGCTTATTAAGGTTTGCTTGAGACACTACTTGACAAGTTCATAGTGCAATTTACTCAAGTTGCTAGCAGATTCTTTCCCTAGGTGCAAATTTGAACATCTCATTCAAATGGGTTTCAAGGAGTGCCAATGTCTTAGCAAATTCTTTGGCAAGAGTGGAGGTTGGGAGAAGATAGCCTTGAATGGAGTTGCATTGGGCTGGGATGTAATGTGTAACTGATCTTTTTCTCTTATTTCTATTCTTCCTTCTTATTGTTCCAACTGTCCACTTGTGTCAGCATCATAGTTGTCAAATTGACGCCTAGGCGACAAGGCGGCCTTGGAGGCTCGCCTTGCCCTATCGCCAAGCAGTTTTGTATAGTCTTATAAAATACTTTTATATTGTTACTTTTTTGAGATTATAATTATAAAATAGGCATTATTAAACAAAAATATTCATTTTTGTGTTTATAAATTAATTTTTTTTTATTATTTTCTTATTTGTCAGGGTTTAATCAACACAAACGTCGCTAATTGCTGTATTGAACCCTCAAAGACTTTAGAATCTAAACCAATAAGTAAGGGAAAAACGTAAAATTTTGTCTAATCAACACATTTCTTCCTCCACTTCTTCCTATAACAAAAATAGGGGTTCAGTCTACGGGTGCTCACGGTTCGGTTAACTGAACTGTGGGCCTTTTTTGTAACCAAACACTACCGTTTTTTGGAAAACCGGTAACCGAAACCAATCGGTTAACCATCGGTTTTTCGGTTTTGTAATTTTTACAATATATATTATAAATATATAGTGAAAAAATATAAATATATATATTATATTTTAAATAATAAATAATATATCATATATTATAAATATATATTTATATACATATAATGCATATTTATTAATTTATAATATATAATATACATAAATATATATAAAATATATAGAAATATATATAGCGGTCGGTTCGGTTAACTGCTGGTTTTCTATATTGGTTAACCGAAACCGAACCGGTACCTTCAGTTTTTTAAAAACACCGAACTGAAACCGAACCGACCGGTACCTTCAGTTTTTTAAAAACACCGAACTGAAACCGAACCGACCGGTATGGTTAATCGATTTTTCGGTTCGGTTTCGGTCGGTTTGGTTTTGTTTGCTCACCCCTAGTTCAGTCCCCATATTTTTTTTTTAATTTTCTTTTCTTTCTTCTTTTTCATATATATATGTTGATTTTCTAGATTTAAACATGAAGTTTATAATTTTCTTATGAAAATTATGGATAGTTATTAAGGAAAGATGGTTATTGAACCTAGGGAACTACCCTAGGATATGTATTTTTTACTTAAAAAAATCCATTGCCTAGGCAACACCTAGGCATGCCCTTGTTGCCTAGCCTCGCCTTGGCGCCTTGAAAACTATGGTCAGCATGCTGGTGTTTTTCTCCTAACCAAGGAAATGTTACCTAGTRATAAAAAAAGTCATGTTGCTAACCCATCGGCATTTAGGCCATTAGCTCCTCAGGGCTGCTAGAACCACAACCTCATAAGTTTACATTTCAATTTAATCATGTTCTTTTCATCTAAATATAATCCAGTTTATTAAAAGACATTTCCCTTTAGTTCTAATGGCATCTTTTAAGAGGATAGATGGGCTCTTTATATGCTAAAACTATTGTTTTAGGATTGGTACTTTCAGGAATCAATTTATAGTTTAGCTAGACGAAAGCATTTGGAGGTTGCACGCCTAGGTAGAGGTGTTAGTTGTTGGGTTCGGTGTGTTGGATTATTCATTATTTTGAAGTTTCTATGTTATTTGATGAGGCATTCAGAAATTTACCCTCTGGAAAATTGTAGTTTAGACATGGAGAATACTTACCAATGAAGAAAAGGTTAATTTATTGCATGTTCGTGATCACCAATTCACCACTAATGTCAGTTTTGATCTTTTGTCTATCTACTTGTTGATATTCTTGGACCAAAAAATCATAACCACCCAGCCCAACTTCAACTAATATGATGCTTATCTCTTCTTCAAGCATATTACAGCCAAGCAAAGAGGAGACATACCTCAGCAACCATAGCCTGGTGGCCCTTCCAATTATTCAAATACACTTTGATCGACTCCTTTGCAGCATCTATTATCATCCTAAATTTGACAATATCTTTGGGATCTTCCTTTAATGACTCGTGCAATGTTTTCACAACCTCTCTATTCAGGTAGCCCTTTGGAAAAAATGCATTTGGAGTCATGAAATTATGTTTAATACATTCCAAAACTTAAATTATAAATGAGAAATCTCTAGATGTGACTTTTGTGTATGTGAGTTGCAGGATCAATAATCTTCTCTTTTGAATTGATAGTATTGAAATAATGGAAAGGAGATGCAGGAAAGATCAGTTTCAATGCTTCAAGGTTGATTTCTTTATTTGAGTATGTTTTCATTAGTTGAACAATCTATCAAGTCAAATCAATTCCATTCAAGATTCTGTTTGATTTATAAAAATAAATTGAAGATTCTTTTTGTTTTTTGTTTATTACTTTTGCTTTCCTTTAGACAAAACATATCACTCCCTCTTTTGTAGATATAAGCTGGACATTCACATGGTTCAAACAAGTTCTTGTGGAGGGATTACCTATAAATATGGCATGCATGATCCTTTCTTGGACATGGTAGTTTGTTGAGCTTTTTTTAATTTATTTGCCTCCTTGTGTATGTAAATACAGGTACAAACTAATACATCGCTCTATATTGACTTAGTTTGACATGATTTATTAGAGTGAGATTTTGTTGTGCTTGGTTTAATGATTTTCCATATGTCTATTTTGCTTTGTACTGCTAGCATTGTTGTAAAGTGTTTCAGTTGATTTAATAGTTTCCTATATGTTTATCTTTCTAGGTGTACAGATATGCAATTTAAAGAAAATAGGGCATGTGTAGCATAGCCATTCTTAGAAAACTTGGTTACAATTTTTTTTTGATCAACAACAGAGATTTTTATTAATAAAAGGAGATGGAAGAAGATACAACAGGAAGGGGGGGGGGTAAAATCTCTTACCCCACCCTAAAAGTAAAACATCACATTACAACACAGCCCAAAAGAAACCAGCTCTTCCCACCCCTTGTTTAGCTAAATAGTCTACGAAAGAATTGGCACTCCT